CGATTTTGAAATTCAGCAGGCAACAGGGTTCGTCGTACGCTGGAATCCTTGGCGGGAGATTGTAGTCGGTCGCTGAAGGGAAGGAAGGGGGGTCTCAATTGGCCTAAGAAAATTCATTTAGTAGTTGATTTTTCCTGTTTCACGAGCGATGTCCACACATTGTGACTTGACTTAGAGAGAGACTCGCTACTCGACCAAAGAGTATGGTTTAAAGGAGCTTGTTAAGTGATCGAATGGTTCAGGAGAAGGGAAGTCAAGGGGACTGGGTAAAATACTTATTAAGGAGCAATTGGGGAATTCGAGAACTTTTGAAAAAGTCCCATATTCATGGCTACTATTTGGTGTGTTGTCCAAATTCCAGTTGCCTGAAGTACTCTGTTTCGTGACTAATCGTTTTCCAATCACGTCCTCCCACTCAATGGGTGTTACTAGGCCGGTTATTTTTTTTGTTTGCGCCTATTGTGACTATTTATAGATTTGTGGTCTGAACGAAAGAGAATTAGAACCTGCCAGTGGGATGTTGAGGGCTCTTCGGCAATGGGGAGGGGGAGGGTATTTTGCGGTTGGATTATAGGTTCCATCTTTGTGAGACCTGTAGACTCTTGCCATGTGTAGACGAATTCAAAGCTCTCCAGGAATTTACAGGCCTCCAGAGAAGGCTTCCGGAAGTGATCGATAAAATCCACTAAAAGGCCCCATCAAGCCGAACTGCACGGGGTAGCGCTTGTAGGTAGCTCGGCAGGTGGGGCTGTTAATGTGAATGGCCCTTTTCCAACACTGAACTAGCTTGCTGCTCACTTTTTTGTGCAGCCAATGCATGTTTGTTTCAGGTTTCTTCAGCCGAATCGTTAGCTGCGTTGGAACGGGCACGATGTTCGGGAGCTTTGGCTCATGCTGAGATTGCGAGCGCTGCTGTGGTAGCCGATGGAACTCACTATTTCAATAAGTGCCTAAAGCATGCATCCACTTATATGACCGAGGTTCCACTGAGAACAGAAGGCTCAAGCAAACTTATTTCTGCGTTGGCCAGGTAGAGTCATTGATTCTTTATGAAATTGATTGTGTACAAAAATCTATGCCCTTCGTTTTCAGTCAACCTTTGGCCGTCTGCACATCAGGTCACCGTGCGATTTCAATGGATAGTCGTTTGTGTGCTAGGGATTTTACAGCCATGCCGAAGGTCCGTATCAAATAGTTTCGGTCCAAAATTCAGCCGTTTTTTGGAATTGTAGAAGGGCGGGCCCGTCATTGACCAGTTGGCTTCTTGCTTTTGAGGGTTTTGAGTTACTTCAGTAAGACGCAGTGCAGAACTAGGACTTCTCTGTTATCCATAATGATCTTTGAAGCAGGGTGGTACAGAGTTGGTCGATGAGTCACAAGTTCGCGAGGACGTTTGCGTGAATCCTTATCAATCTCTCGCTGATCTGCTTCCATCGGCGGCCTGATTCCTGGAGGCGGATGGTTGTTGCCAGCGCAGAAGGGTGAAGAAGGGCGTTCGGCCCATTTGCCAAACGCTTTGTGGGGTAGCGATAACGCCCTTCACCAAAGACACTGCAGCACACCGGGCGCCGCTAACATCGTGCCATGCCCTCAAATAGCCTGGCAGTATCTAGTAATACACTTTTGGAATGGAGAATACCTCTGGTTTGTGAACTGAGTATCTGGAAGATACGAGGGTACAAATGCACAAACCTTAGTAAGTTTTGAAGATGCATAGAAACAGAGTAATTTGGGTGCACGAAATATGTTTGCAAGGTGTTAATTAATGGGGACGGTGACGGACAGGCGGTGTAGATACGCAAAACTACGGAAAACCTTTGTTCTCAGCCACGGAATGGACGGTACTTTTTTGGACGAGTTTCCCGCAGGCTTCATGCCAGCAACCACTTTGGTAGATACGGCATACGGACTTTTTCATATATCCATGTAGCAACGCTTTATGATATTGCAACTTTAAATAATGCGATAAACCTATCACTTCCGTAAAATGGTGCATAAAAGTGCTCAACATCATGAAAGTGGTCAACATTATGCATGAAATGGGCATTTCTTATGATGCTGCCAACCACACATTTGTCTATGGAAATAGTAATAACACATATGAGTTGATGCCTCATACGAACAAGTTTTCTTTAATATTGACACCACAAGTTCTTTTGTGTTAAGAATAATATCAATATATCCATTGATGCAGAAATACCTACTATATATGCCCTACCAAAGCTACATAAGAACCCAGTTAAATTCAGGTACATCACAGTGACATAAGCGATAGTATTAAACCACTGGCATCAGGAATTACGCATAATCTTAAATTTAAAATCACTTCTAAAGCTATCTGAAAGCAAATTCGGGAATTCGCAACAGGATATCAACGACATCTGGTCTAATAAGTAAGATTAATAATAGTCACGAAGCTACCAAATCAACGTTTCGACAATCTAAAAATTTAACAGAGATTTTCACTGAGTATGTTCACCGTTAAAGGGTAGCAACGAAAGGCAGCCCGGGCCTTCGGCTCGCTCACAGAGCGGATGGCGGAACGCGGCTCGGCCCAGCCCCGCCAAAATTTAAGAGCATACTCTTATTCTTATAGAAGAAGGCGGACCGCTACATTTTTGCTTAAAAATGCCAACAGAATCCTTTATTGCCACTAAATGGTTAGCCGCCGCATGTTTTCTATACAGTGGTAAAGAACTCAGAATCAGTACAGAATAATTAACAAATCCTCAGCGCTTAGTTATAGCTTTATTGACCTATCTTTTACGTAACGGCTTTGTCTTTTGCTAATAATACGTTCAAAGCAGACTAAAGGTGTCCCACAAGGTGGCAATTTCAGTCCACTACTAGCAGATCTTACGCTTTCTGTCATGGAATATGACTATGCTAAATCTAAAAAGTTTAATAAAACCAAGCTGTTCATCCCATATAGATATATGGATGATTTGCTTGTTGTTCACAACCAAACTGATGATGATGTGGATGAACTACTTTCTCAAGTTTATCAAAATACCCTTCAGTTGAAAAAAACTCATAGGAGTGAGGTTTCTAGTGATTATTTAGATTTAACAATTAATGATACGGTAAATTAGTACCAAGCTGTATAATAAAACGGATGATTTTACCTTCAGTGTATCAGATTTCCGTATAGGGACACAAATATCTCTCTTATCAACAAATCCTCTGTTATATATACGGAAACTTTGAGGTTAGCGAACACTTGTTCGTTCTTCAACGCTTTTGTTAGCAAAATAACGGATATGGTCACCACTCTCTTGAAAAATGGCTACGAGGAAGATTTTATTACTACTAGCATTGTTAAGTGTATTTATAAAAATAAATTTATAAGTTACAAGTACTCAATCGCAAGATAAACTATAGAAAGTATAAATAGACCAGTACCACAAGTTTTACATCATTTGGCAGGCAGTGATCACAGCTAATTCCCGGTTCTTTCCACATATAGCTATTGATGTGATTTATTTCTTGTATAGGCCTTCTCTTTACTGTCACAGTTCTCTCAGTGGTTTTGCCGGCTATCCTTTTCCCCTTCTTCCATCGTATTTAAGCAAACTCGTGTTTATATTATCTTTGCATTAATATATGTTAATTTTTCATTATTTTTTTAAATGGGGTGTAAATTCATCATCATCTTGATGCATGAACTTTGCATGTTACCCCCTTTTTTTACAATCTCTCTCTTTTTGTCCTATTTCTCACACCTTCCCCTATGTAGTCTATGTCCTCTTGTCTTCAACCTATCGCACTGATGATGCTCGGGGGTTGGCTAGACAATGATGATTCGTCTGCGATACCGAGCGAAACGGATCATCTGTGTTGTGGAGTGTATTCCTTTCCCATGTTTGTTTTTCTTTGCTTCTAATTTTCGGAGAGACTGTGGGGCCATTTAGCGGGCGGTTGCGGTGGGCGTTTGGGCCGGGCGTTGCTGCTTGGTCAGGCGCTATAACGGTGCCTCTGGTTGGAAAAGGTGCCACGCGATGCCTGCTAAGAGGCACAGTATTCTTTCGTGCGAGGGTTATCGACGTGCCACTTGCGCCTTAAAGGCAGTTGGCACGATAATTTGGTACTCAGCCTAAAATGCTAGCAGGGCGCTATCTAGTGGGAAAATGGCGAAAAAACGAAGTGAAACGGTCAAAAACTGCGAAGAAAAGCCTTCGTTCTTGAAAGCAATTTCGGACGAGTTTCCCGTAGGCGTATTGCAAATAACCGCTCCGGCAGGTACGGCTGCATGTATGTACTCATATATCCATTCAGCACCGCAGCCGCTTCATACTAATCCCTTCGCTTTATATTTTACTCAGCAAATGAAGCAAAACGAGCATCTGGTAAGGTCGTCCATTTGTGGGCGGGCGGGCGTGGCGGGCGTTTGGGTCGGTATGTTGTAGCTTGATAGGACCCTTATAAGGGTACCTCCCTAGGAAAAACCGCTATGCAGCGCCTACTCAGGGTCGCGGAAATCCGCCCTGCCAGGCGTATCAATCCTACTCGTTTTTAGGGATTTATCATGCCAACTGCCTTTAATGGTAAAATCAAAGCTATTCCGCAGTAGCCGGATGGGCGGGACACATGCAGCCTTGTTTTCTGCGGATGATAGGGCTTATCGGGGAGGGGGGTTGGAAAGTGGCAAGCGACCACAACTGGTGGAAAACAGGCTGATGTCGCACGAAACGTAGCCCACGACACACTGCAGCATTCTCAGCGAACATCAATGTAACCGCACATGGTTGCTGGTTGGCGCGCCTTACTAATATGGTACGGAATAGAGGCGCGTGAGAAAGGCACAGTGTTTTGCAAGCCCCGCCGGCCCCCGATGCCTTACACGCACCGCGGGAGAGCTGACTTTGGATGGGCGAGCCTGCTCTGCCTTTATTATATCCGTTATGCGCGCGCTGGAATAATATAACTGAATGTAAGCTGTGTTGGACAAGCTATAGTAATGAATTATATACTTTTAGGGAACAGTTGGTGTCGAAGAGCGAATGTGCGTGATATGGGAGAAAGCAGTACGTACTGGGCGTATTGATCCGATGCGGTTTGTCGCAATTACTTCAACGAACGCTGCGAAAATGTTCAACTTGTATCCGAAAAAGGTTTGTCGATTTGTTTCTGTTTGTCTAAATGGAAAGGGTTCACTTGATGAAATAATATGCATATACAGCACTGGTTATCTTGAATGGCCCCTTTTAAGGGACGTATTGCTGTTGGTGCAGATGCTGATCTCGTACTATGGGATGCATCAGGCCGATGGAAATTATCAGCTGCCGAACGACAATCTTCCGTGGATCTCAGTATATATGAAGGAATGACTGTGCATGCACAGGGTTGCTAAATAGAGGAAAAAGTGCTCGGCCTTTGTCAGCTATAGTTTTGCAGGCACTGAGCGACAAAACCTGACGCCGCGGCTGCTACGTTTGCAAGTAATCATTCGGCAGCTTGCGTTGGAACGAAGGTGCAGAGTGACCTTATTTTGGCGCCTCATACTTCGCGTACTTAAGGGTAGTTCATGTCGCGCGTTCTAAATCGGCACCCTCTCCACAGCTAATGGTTACATCGCTATAACTACTAGTTGTGAATACGATTTAATTAATTGTCGCAGCGATCCTGTGATTAGCCGCGCGTTCACTAAATCAGAGTCGCGTTCAATAAATCACTTACTCGAGAATCGCGCGCTCAATCGCTGGAGTCATGAAGTGTGAACGCGATTTGAAGCTAGGCGGAGGTTTCTTTGTAGTTACCGCAGTACGGGCTACGAGGCAGAAAATACATTCTCGGACGTATTTAAATATGCATCTGTTCATTTTTACTTTTATAGGCATCAGTGACAATAGTGTGCGGTCGTGTGGCGTGGAAGGATGGCAAGATTCAAGATGCCAAAGGCAGTTTTGTGCAGTTGTCACCCAATAGTCCGTATTTGTTCAGTGTAGTCCAGCAAAGAGACAAGGTATAGTGTATTTTTACTGGTAATCAATGTTTCTTCATGTCATCATCCGCCAATATAATGCTTTTTGTAGATAAACTGCGCTGAGAAAGTCGACCGAGGTGAAGCACCAAGTGTGTCTTCGAATGGGCATCTACCAAGACGAGGAAACCTGAAACCATCACCATTTGACCGACCAGTTCCGAGAAAATCACATATGGAGTCGAATATCACCTTTGGTAAGACTTTAGTTAATTAGAGATAAGGAAAGTCGTTGAAAAGAAGGTTCATTGGCTCTGCTAAAAATCGAATAAATAGGAAATATTGGGGGAGGGAAGGGGCAACAAGCGTTCTGTTTTCGCTTTTTGCCACAGGCCTTGGACGGCCAGCTGAGCGAAAAGCATAGTCTCCCGCTGTGCTCATCAGTAACGGAAGGGAGGAATATCAAATTCGATGCTTACTACCTATACGTTTACCTCCCCCTGACCAAGTTGCATATGTGAGCGTCAGCCATGGGCAAGGTGAGCGTGTCCGCGAAGAATGTAGAAAAATGCCAGTCATTCGTCATTAGGAAGGGAGGAAATGAGCGTAGAGCGTAGTGGAAAGTAGATGTCGTTGGATTTCCATTTCCGATGTCCCACAGTATGCCGGATGTGCGTCGATATGGAGACCCCGTAGCGAACAACGTGAACAGCAGGCTGTCCCTCATGCCCGAGTGTAGATAACAACAGCTCCCGAACCGACAAAGAGATCCAAGGGCGGAAGAACAGTGTACAGCATCGTTGAGTGAATCCCATGGGGGGGGGGGTGGGGAGGTCCGCAGTCGGTACGAAGCGAAGGATGGGCGTGGTTGGACGAGTTGTCGCTTGTTGGTGCCAACTCGTTCCCCTCACTACCCCTGTCACAGTTTGAAATGGAGAGAGTAGGTGGGAACAACCGCACTATCAGATAACAACTAGAAATGAAAGTTGAGGGTGGCCGCGGGCAGTGGGCGGGGCGATGTATCAAACGCGAGAGGTGCCTTTAGAGAACAGTGGCCCACTGTCATTTGGATGTTCCGGCGCGCTTCTCGTCTATCAAAGCCCTCCATAATGAGGAATGGATTATTCGTATTAGGGTGTCCACAAAGTTCGTTGGCCATTTGTAAACAGCGTCGCGTTAAGCAACGCGTTGTGATTTTGCATAGAGATTTCGCAATACTGAAACTAGCACTCGCGATGAATGGGCTAAAGCCTTCTGAAGCTAGGCCAGTCTGAATTTCTTTCCTTACTCTTCCCCTACAATAAAGGCCAGTGAAAGGATGAGTGATAGCACCACCACAGCCGGATGTTTGCTGACTACTACAGACCTGGGCCTCTGCAGAGACGTCACGGCCTACGACCACGATGCGTCAGCAGTTTGGTAATACACCCCTTCTAAGAACTGGATGTCAAAATGGTGGACTCGCCTCACCAATGAAAACTATGGCATCGAAGATATGCCGAGGTTTTCTGGTTGCTCGTCGACCACGGCGTCGTCCTAACAGCATCCCTATCCACCACATGCACAGTGACCGCAGAGGACCTCCTGCTCAGAGAAGTTGCAGGAGGTGCCATAGGTGAACGCTGCCACGTACGCCAGATACTTGCAAATCCGTGGTTGCTTCATGTAGAGCAACCCGCTCCGCACAAAGGAGAGGATACTTAGGCGTCGTGGACCGGCTGGGCCAGCAAGACGATCACGCAATGTCACGTGTCATAGCCCGGACATTAGTCCATGCGATTACCACATCTTCCGGTCCATGCAAAATTTCTTGGACGGAAAACAGCTGAAGAACGAGCGCGACCTCGAGGACGTGATCGAGGACTGGGCCGAGTCGCGGCCGGCCGGCTTTTGGGAGGATGGAGTTGCCTCTCTACCCGATCGTTGGCGAAAGGTAGTGGGTATGCATGGAGATTATATCATGGACCGGTAAGTTCAACTTGGTGAGATATCTTTACCAGCTGAAAAAACGAATGGCCAACGAACTTTGTGGACACCCTAATATTAGTTTTGCATCTCAAAAAGGCGAGAGGATAGCGCCGTCCGCTAGTGAAGAGTCAGCCGCCCCGCCCACCTGGCCAGCATAGGGTTCTATATAGGGCATTTTACATGAGTTCTTCTGCTTTTTTCTTCGCTACTGCATCACGTACTACATGAGCTCTATAATTCATTATTCTTGAGAGCGGGCTCAGCCTTTAAAGGCTAGACCAAAGCAGTTATGGCAGCCAGGTGTGGGGGCGTAGGAACATCAAATGAACGTGGGCGCTGCCCTTTAGGTCAACATGTGTCTTGGAGAAAGAGGGGTGATTTCATAGCCATTTCGTTTTCATGATTTTATGTGGTGGATAGAATAGCTATAAAACGGGAATGATGTGATAAATCTCTTTTGGACATGCAATGGTTGCTTCGCTTCGAGCTAGTGTCGCTAATATTTGGGCTGTAAAACCGATCAGACCAGAGGAACGGATGTGGTCGCTAGTCACGCGAGCTAACATAGTGATCCTCGGCACAAACGTCCAATAGTTACTACAATCATAGGGTCTGCAAACAATGAGAAACTTGATGGGGAAACCCTGGAAAGAAGGAAGGAATCAGCACATCCCACTCCGGTCAAGCGTTGTATTCCCAGAGATGTGCCAGTTGGTAGCGGAATTATGTGGTGGATAGAAACAGTTGGCGTGAGTACGTCGAGGTCCTCTGCCCTCTCGAAGTAGCCCCACGAATTGCATGGTAATGGAAACTGCTCTGTTCTTCCGCTTCCCTTCTTAATACGCCTTCTCTAGCCCCTGTATAATGCAGCCCTCTTAGGGCAGTTTTGTGCTGAAGTTCGGGGGAGGGGACTTCCATTGTCACCTTCTCTATGTGAGAGCGGTGGTGGAGGGACAGCTGAAAACGTCAGTAGATTCGTTGCTGATAGTTGGAAACTAGCCTAGACGGGCCTAAAACTTACTTCCACTTTCATTTGGTTTTATTGCTCACAATGGATGAAGGTGAAATGATAGTTGCAGGTGCCCACACTTTGGTCACTTTTGAAAAGTCGTTTAGACGGTTTTGACCTTCCGCCCTTCCCCTCGTCCCCACCCCATTTTGAGTCTTATAACCTCGTAGCTGTAGGTCAGTCTTATTCTAGCTAGAATAATGAATAGCGAACGTTGTCTAGTTCATAAACCCTGTCCATATCAGGAAGATGGGGAGGGCGTGGCTCCGCACCTCTCTCTGAACGTGAAACAGGATGCGTTTTTGTGGCATGTTTCCATATGAGACGAATATTATCCTTTCTTGTGCTGAACAAGACATTGTTAGACTTACCTCAAAACAGCAATGTTTTACTAAGAAGGTAGTCGCCGCCACGCTCAGAGGGGTGCGCAGCCACGCCCACTCCACTTCTCGGATATGGGGATTGACGATTTCTGACGGATGCGTCAAGGATTTATTCTTTTTTTCCTGTATAAGTTTGAATACCCTCCTTGCAGGTGTTGACACTCGACCAGCAACGACACGAGTACGAAATCCACCGGGAGGACGAACGACGGGGTTCTGGTAGAGCCGTTCGGGAGAGAAAGGGACAGATATATAACGCATATGCATTAATATTTATTTTTCATTTTTTCACGTTGTCTTCACTGTAGATTAACACTCCGTGACCGCACCCTCCCCCCACAACTTTTTTTTGCCCCTGCCCTCACTATTTTTTGCCCCTTGCTCGAATCTTTTGATCGCAGCGATTAACGCGCTAGCATCACCGTTTTGTCCAGTAGTGTAACAGGCCATATGCTGCCGCGCCCATCGTACCATTGCCCTCATCTCACTCGACCGGAAAGCCTAGTCTCTGATAGCTTTTCTTTCCAGCTAATCTCTGATCCCGGAGAAGCACATCTTAGTGTGCTTGATTGTTTGTTACCATTTTTCTCTTCATTTAATTGGTCACTAACGCTTTCAAGGCTTTACTGTTGCGGTCATTGATTTAACAGCTTTGTTACGGCGTTATTTTTGGTCGCTTAATAGTCTATGAATTCGTACTTATTGGTTGGAATCAAATATTGAAGGTCACGCGAGTTTTGATGTATTCACAAGAGAGTAGTTGGCGAGCTTAAAGTTCGATTTGTAACATTTAAACCCTTCCATCTTTCTCATATTTATATAGTCAGTTCCGCTTTGAATCTCAACCACTACACTATTTATTGAGCCTATTAATTCTATCAGTATAAACTTCTTCTCTTTGTCCTTGTGAATTTTTTTATGTTAGGGTATTGTTGAATATATTGATTAATTACTAAGGGAATGGAAATCAATCAGAACCAAGCAGTTGGTGCCCTGGTTTGCACGCTGTTGTGAATTGATATTGGTGGGGAAATAAAACAGCGAAGGAGAGGGTCCAAGATTAAAGGAAGAACCCGCGATTTTTCGCCATCTCAGATGGTGGATTAGGGCGTTCCACATAGACGACAAGGGGTTGAGTAACTCGACTGTGAACAAGAAAGATTGGGGATTGAGGTTGGGTAGAATTTCCTCAGCAAGTTCATTTAAACCAGAATCGCTTTTTCTTACTGAAGTGGGACGCAGTTCGGCTTGGTGGGAGCACCGAGTTGTACACAGCTGAGTTTGTATAGAGTCAAACTGTAAACCCTGCTAACAGCGAAATTCGCTCGATTTCACAGCTTCACAAGGGTCTACAGGACTCACCAAGCTGATGGTGAGACTTATTAGTTAACATGAAGTAAAAAGACTGGAAGCGCAAAATGCCCCCTCCAAGCCAAGCAGCACTATGGACTTGCTACTACGATGTACACGAGGTGCGATTGTAGAGCTCGCCCGATCAAGAAGCGCCCAGGAGAGACGAGCACGAGTTTCGGGAAAAAAGGGTAGCTTTTGGGCTGGATTTCGAACTCTGTGTCACGGCATAGGAAGAATCTTGTCAGATGGTCGCACGTTTGTTGGGAAGCAGGGTCGTAATTCGTCCATAGGGGTCGCATCTGGTTCGAGGGACGGCTTTCAGTACAGCAAAGGAAATTGTTCAGTTACTGGCTTTCCGTGGCTTTTCCCATTTCATGTGTTTACACATACTCTACCCCTCTCAACTGCAAAACTTTTGGGACCTACGGTGATGGGAAAATTAAATGCAAGGTAGTGGTGGAAAGCCCTACCAGAGGGAGAAATGTTGGGGAGTACGGAAGGGGGGGGGGGGCATTTGACACCACCATTTCTTATACACGATGCTGTATCCTGTCAAGAGAGCGA